CCTCCATCTAGGGACCTGAGGGCTATGGACTGTCCAGCCCAAGCATCCTACATCTAGGGACCTGAGGACTATAGGTTTCCAGCCCAAGTATCCTACATCTAGGGACCTGAGGACTATGGGTTGTCCATCCCCTCTACATCTAGGGACCTGAGGACTATGGGTTGTCCAGCCCCTGCCCCATAGGGAAGTAGTGAGGACAAGGATGAAGCCACCAGCCTGCTGGAAAGCCGAGTGGCAGGTATACATACTGTCTCTACTCTCTGCCCCTGGGGTCTCAGCTGACTCCAGGTGAGCACCCAGACCACACTGAAGCTTCCTGCTTATTATATAACACAAGGTGCTCCTGTGATGGTTAACACTCCTCTTCTCTCTGCAGAAATCCTTCCCATAATTGAATTTTCACATAACAGGGTATATCACAAAAAACAGGAATCATATTTCCAAAAGGGGAAAACAAATCCTCAGAGCATCTATATCAATACATTTCCTTCTCATCTGTCTCCCACCCTTAAATTTATCCCAGGATTTGCATTGATTTGCATTTGTATCCCTATGAAATAAAAGTATTTTGAAGTGAACACTTTAGTAGCTGTTAGTACATTCTCGATTGTCAATCAGCATCTGACATGGTTCCAAAACAGGTTCTCACCATCAAGGAGGAAATTATGTACCTACTCCCTGAAAATGAAATTCTGTTTTCTGTCTCCAAAGATCTCCTTACTTTGTATATTTCATATAGTATGTGACCTTTCGTGTCTGGCTACTTTGAATTGGTTACTGTGTGTAAGATATACCCATGCTGCAGCATCTATCAGTACTTGTTTTATTTTCTTGCTAAATAATATTCCATTGGATGTTGATTCATATGTATGGGCATTGGTTTGTTCTTACCTTTTAGCTATTTTGAGTGCACGGTTTGTTTATTTATTTACTTATTGCTTGTATATGAAGGAGTGGAATGGCTCTTTAAAATAACTTACATCTTTTGAATCAATCTCTAGTTTGAATCCAAACAGAGAGAAAAGTTTCCTGGGGTACAGGTACTGTGTCTGCCCTTTTCCCCTGGGGTCCCGCCTGGTGCCATGCATGGGCCAGCTCAAGGTAGGTTGCAAAGCAGTTGAGGCTCTCACCAATCCTGAAGACTCTGTCACAGTCTTCCTTGAGGCTGAGAGAGTATTTCTTCATCAAACAACAGGATCTCCCCCACCCCTATCCCTGTCTACCTGTGGGGGAACTTGCCCCCACTTTTTCCCCAGGGTACTTTTGAGGAGAGAGAGATAAGAGTATTAGGTAGAAAGATAGAGAAAAGAGAAACAGAAACACAGGATAGCCTTGGGAGGGCCTCAATCAATATCCATTGGCCCCTCCTGTCTCTTCTAAAGGTCCTTTTATAGGAATGCCAAGGGGTGGAGCAAAAGACCTCCCCCCTAGCACAGCCAAGTGCAGACCTTTCCAATTACCTGGTAACCACACACATGGTCAAGCCATCCTCTAATGCAGCCCTGCTGGGTAAAGCAAGCTCAGATCTCACTAGGAAACCTTTGTGGGCCTCCACATCTACCTCCCACCTCTTTTCCTCCTTCTCTTCTTTTGCTGGGGTTTAAATCCAACCCTCAGATGCTCGGCAAGCACTCTACCATAGGACACAAATAGAACTAAAAATGTGCTCGAGCAAGTTTTAAAGTTAACTGAACACAATCTTGGTCAGTACAGGAGGCTTGTGGGTAACAGTAAGTGCCAGCTCTTATTGTCTTAGTCAAGGTTTCTATTGCTGTGACAAGACACCATGACCATGGCAATGCTTATAAAGGAAAACATTTAACTGGGGCTGGCTTACAGTTCAGAGATTTAGTCCATTATCATCATGGCAGGACACAGTGGTGTGCAGGCAGACATGATGCTGGAGAAGGAGCTGAGAGTCCTGCATCTTGATCCACAGGCAGCAGGAGTCTGTGTCCCACACTGAGTGCAGCTTGAGCATAGGAGACCTCAAAGCCTGCCCCCACAGTGACATACTTCCTCCAACAAGGCTGTACCTCCTAATAGTACCACTCCTTATGGAGGCCATCTTTCAAACCACCGAAATCACTGAGCCAGAGTTATCTGACTATGGTCAGAAGGAGTGTCAATCAGGTTGGGCCAGAGGGGTCTCAGCAAGACTGGGGCTGAAGCAAGCTAGTTGCAAACAATTAGACTTACCCCGTTATCAGAAGCAGAATACAATGGCAGTTGCCAGGAAGAATACAATTGTAGTTGCCAGGATACAATGATTTTTGCAGGCTACACAGGCAACACAAGATTAATGTCTAAGACTAATTATTCAGCCAAATTTGGAAATGCATTGCTGACTTCTACAGAATGCAGAGAAACTCTGGCATCCTGAATGCTACACTGCCTAAGGGGGTGCCTCGGTTTCTCAGAACTGAAAGGCACACAGTACCCGAGGAGCCACAGACCCTAACCTGAAAAAACCTATGATGAACGCCTCTCAAGGCAGCTAAACCAGGCCAACTCCATGATTCCCTGCACATTCCAAAGAGGCTCAGGGAATGTGGTCAGAAGACACTGGGGAGGGGCAGGTCCCATTTTCTGTGTCTAACAGTGCTATGATTGTGTGTGGATTGCCTCCCTCACCCTCCAAAGACTCTCGCGTGGAAGGCTTAGTCCCCAGATAGTGGCATAACTGAGAGCTGATTGCATCGTGAATAAGTTTCTAGCAGAATGGGCTATTAGAAGATGGGACCTGACAGAGGAAACTGAAGAGGCCTAACAACGTTAGTGAACCATGACAGGCTGCAGACTAACAATACTGGGAACTAGGCCTCACCATTACAATAACCAGGAAAAGCCACAGGCTATACCCTGCAGGGGACCAATCAGAATTGAGACAAACAGCACTAGATGCTCTAGAACATGAAGGATAGCTTACATCACTTGTGTATAAGTTGCCAATTTCCTCACAGCAATGCCAGTACCAATCCCTGTTTGACAAAACTTCTGTTACCTCATTCCTGCACAGTCAGGAGTTCAATCCCCATCTGAATCCAGAATTCCCCTACCCCCATCCTTTACTCCTTAAAAACCCTGCCTCAACTGAGCTCAGTGCTCTCCCTGATCTAACTGCTATGTCGGAATGGACAGGAAGCCCAAGCTCGAGCTTGCAATAAAGGCTCTTTGCTTTTGCATATGAACTCGGACTCCTGGTGATCTCTGGGAGGCTCATGGCTCAGGCATAACAGAAATAGGTCACGTGAGTGAGTCTCCCTGGCCTGGTTCTCTAGGTGTCTGGGCCTTTGCTGCCAGGTGAGGAGCTTGCTCATGGCGCCTTTCTGTCTCACCACAGCTCCAAAAAGACAGACTCAGACCAGCATGGCTGAAACCAAGAACATACCCGAAGGGTTTGGAGAGATTAAATTGCTTATTCTAAACCAACAGAGACCTGTCATGTGGGTTATTCAGGTTTAAATCATTTTATAATGGTCACAAGAAATTTGTTTTATTTTGATAAAGAGCCTGTAGCCATTGAAAAGGGTCTTTTGATTGTTTGATTTGACTGTGTCTGGGATTCCTACTACGCTTATGTCATGTAATGAACTGATAGAAGGCAGTATGTGAGGAGCACAGGCTAGACACTGAAGGCACCTGGTGAAGCCTGACATGGCTTGAAGAACAACGGTGCAAGTATGCGTGACCAAGGCTTACTTTTCCTTATGTCTGTGTGTCCTGGTTCCGTTCCCTAAGTCCTTAGAAACTGAACCCAAATTTAATCATCATTTGTAGAATTCCTTGGTAGTTCCCATGTGCTGTGGTCTGAATACTTGTGCCCCACCCCTTTAATCTGTTGAAATCCAGATCCTGACCCCCAAGGTGATGGATGGTATTAAGAACACCATTTGATCTTAGTCCTTTTCTGTTACTATAACAGAATACCTGAGATTGGGCCACTTATAAAGAATAGTGGTCTACGTTGGTCCGTGGTTCCAAAGGCTGCAGTTTAAGAGCACGTAGCTGCACGGTGAGCGTCACATGTTGTTTTAACTCATGGTGGAAAGAGAAAAGAAACAGCCAACCCCTCAGGAGTCGAATGAACACTTGCTGCTGTTGGAGAGAACCTGAGTTCTGTTTCAAGCACCCACGTCAGGCTGCTCACAACCACCAAAATTCTAGGTCTAGGGGATCTGGTAGCCTCCTCTGGCCTCCCTGGGAATATACATATGGACAGAGACGAAAGTAGACACATAATGCCGGGTGGCAGCGGCGCACGCCTTTAATACCAGCACTCGGGAGGCAGAGCCAGGTGGATCTCTGTGAGTTCGAGGCCAGCCTGGTCTACAAAGTGAGTTCCAGGACAGGCTCCAAAACTACACAGAGAAACCCTGTCTCAAAAAACCAACCCCCCCAAAAAAAAGACATAAATAAAATTAAAATAATCTTAAAACAATAGCCACTCAGTGGCTCTCAAGAAAGCATACATGATCATTGCTCCTGTGTTGTTTAAAGTGGCTTGTGTCTGGCTTGTTGCTGTGGCCAGCATTTCTGGTAACCCTTCCGGGTGTGACCCTTTTCCCTTAACCTGGGTCTAGGAAGCGCTCATTAAGGAGGAGTTTGTGTGTTCCTAGCTTATTTTAGTGTTCAGCTAACCTAGAAAGGAGACTTCAGTGGGCAGCCTCTGGAAGGAATACTTCCCACGAAATCAGGACTCTCGGAAGTCGCAAGCAAACATAAAATAGAAACACATTCTCCTGTAGTTGATGTTTACAGGAGACCTTGCTTTCCAGGCCCGCAGCACGGTAAGACTGGGTGTGCCGAGTGGTTTGAAGCTGACGAATTTAAAAACACAAGAGCTGGAAGCGACCCTGGCTGGACATCACTTGATGGCGAGATACAAGTGCCTGGGACAGAGGCAGTGCCAGAGCCTCTCCAGTTAGCTCCTGCTGGCGCTCCTCCGCCCCTTTCTCCTCCCCTCTCTTTCCTCTTGGGTTGCTTCTCTGCAGTAAATATTTATTTAAAAAACCAGCGAACAAAAATCCTCCGGTCTCCAGTAAACTTCTCGGTAGGAGATGAACGCCCCTTTCTACCGGGAAAATCTGACCAAATCCAGGTCTGAATCCTTACTTTCTCCCCTTGCACACGGGAGAAAGTCAGCGCACCCCGTCGTGCTGCTAGAAGCCTCAGTTGGGGCAAACTGGGCAGGTCCGGGCAGAGCAGGGCTGTGCTGGTCTCCTAGCGACCTGGGAAGCCGTGCCGGGACATGCCACCCACGACCCGGCAGGGGTCCTGCAGCCGGCGCCGGCGCCATGGCGGAGCGTGGGCAGAGGCTCCAGCCCACGACTTTGGCTCTCGGGCTGCAGCAGGAGCACCGGAACCGCGGGCGGTAAGCGCGGTGCCACTGGGGCTCACGCCGCTGCTGATCGGGGAAGCCGGGATCCCCGGGGCTGGGGCCAACATGGTCCTTGCTCCTTGAGAAAGGAGCTGCCTTTCTCAGTATCCCCATTGCCCTTACTATTGCAATAGAGCAAAAGGCCCAGTGCTGGGTCCCCCGCCCCGCAAAGGATGCGCTTGTTTGATTTTTGCCACAACTCGTAGGAGAAGTAGTTGAAAGTCCCCAGGCCAGATAGGAAAACGGTGGCACACAGTGGCCACTAGGGAGGCTGTCCTAGCCCAGGCCTCTGAGCTCCTGCCTCCAACACACTCTTGGGGGTAGCCAGCTCTCTGAACAGATGCTCTGAGACCCCTGGTTCAGCTTAAGGCATCCGTGGATGCCCGGAGTCTCTAGCCCTCCAGCTGGAGGCTCCGCTCAAGCAGAACCCTTGGTGGGAGATTGCTTGAGGTCCTGGCAAGGCAGGTCACTGCTTTGTGGAGTTGGTGGGGCAGGAAAGGGAGGATTTATAAGAGTAAGTTTTAGCTGGTGAAGAGGCGCTTCAATGTGGTGATGGAAATAAGGCAGCAAGCCTAAAAATCAGAAAGGCTAGTAGCTCAATATGTAGCCGAGGCTAGCCTTAAGCAGGCAATCCTCCTGCTGTTCACATGCATTTAGAATACACGCGCACAGAGGATGCTTTGAGCATGTGTGCAGGCAAAGGTACAGCTCCATCCAGAACAGTGGTTTACTTAAGTAGGCGGTGGGAGCAGGTTGTGAGGACCCAGCAGAACACGTAAGGAAGGGGCTTGCTTAGCATGATTAACTCAGCCTCCTGTGACTCCTCGTCTGCTTCTCCCGCCCCTAAACCCCACAATAGTTGGAGGCCAGCCTCCTTCCACCCTCCTCCCACCTAAATCCTGGGATGGGCATCACCTGGCCTGTTGTCTTCCAGGTACCTGGAGAACTTGCCTTCCAAGTGTTGCTCGAAACACAAGAGGCTGAAGTTCCCGGGATCCTTGAACAGCCAGCACTGGGTGTTTGTGAGAGAGGAACTGGATGACTTCAGGAAAGGCTGCTGCCCACGCCAGCGCCCCAAGGATGTCTTTCTGCCTCATATTCATCACAGACTTCCCCAAGCGACCCCCAAGAAGAGGCAGAATGGACTGCCCAAGGGGGCAGCCTTGTTGTCCAAGCTCTCACAAGCTAGGAAGGCATTTCTCGAGGACGTGGAAGATAACGTGGCTCTGCATGCCCTGGCTCTCTACCCGCATCTGGAAGAAGCTCTGCCTGCTGAGGTGATGGTCTGAGCTTGAAGGTGGGGGGGACCTCTTGGGGAGCCTGAAAACAATTCTCTCCGGGTGCCCAGGAGACCCTGGAGCTCTTATTCATAGGAGAGGAGGTTGTACCCCCAGGTGAAGGTTCTTAACCAGTTTTGAGCAGCCTTCCTTTTTTCTACTGAGGAAACGCAAATGGTGGGACACACAGCTAACCTTTGCTTCCTGTACCCGAGTGTCCATCACAGGCACTTCCGGCTCTCCCCGTCTCAAGCTCTCTCAGTTGACTTTGCCTTGATACTTTCTAGGTACAAGAAGCCACGCAGGGAACTGCCCAGTCTCGCTTCTGTCTGTTTAGCCCAGGGCCAAGAGACCTCTGTAAGGACCCGCTAACAAATGGATAAAGAATCTGAGCGCCATGGGGGGATGAGGGCTGTGGACCCACCACAGTGCCCAGGCCAGGCCTGAACAGGAACAGCAGTGTCCAGGGCTGCTCCTGACTCATCTCCAGGGCCCTCGGCACAGTTACCTTGTTGATGAGGCAGGGGGTGAGCAGGAGTGATGAGGCAGGGGGTGAGCAGGAGTGACTCCCCACCCCCACCCCTGCAGCCTGTCCGGGGCTAAACAGGCAAGTCGGGGTGCGCCATTCCCTTGCTCAAAGCCCCCTCTCGCTCTGCGAAGCCCAGCCCCTGCCTGGCCCTGGGGACCCTCTAGCCTGCCACTCCCCCCCCACACCTCTGCAGCCCACTCCTCCGCTCCCATTCCACTCCAGCTGAAATTTCTGATGAGTGATTTTTCTCCCCGGCTTTTTCCATACTGAGTCTGGCAAGCCAGAGGGTCTGAGTCTCAGATAAAGAGGTGATTATACCACGTCTCGTGGCACATGGCCACGGCACAGGGGCGTGGCTCTCACTTCCCTGCCTGATTCGCCCAAGTAGGTCTCCTAAGCTTTGTTTGGAGGCAGGGTCTGTTTATGGAGCTGAGCCGGGTACCTGCATCTCCAGTTTAGGTTTGACTTCAGAACCTCAGCCAAGAAACGACACTTCTTTTTTGTGTGTGTGATCCCGGAAACATCCAATCCTACAGTCTAGTTTCCGTGGGTCCACTTGATTCAGGAGCCTGCTGCATCCATAAGGTAGTCACTGAGGCTCTGGTGTGGTCTTCCTGAGAATGGAGGTGAGGTTAGGTCTACTAGGACCAAGTGAATGGGGAGGGAGAGCTGGCTCTTTGTGTGTGTGTGTGTGGGGGGGGGTCTTGTGTGTGTTGAGATATGTGTGCACGTTTGTGCCTGTGTACTAGGGGCAGAAGACAACCTCATCTGTTGTTCCTTGGGTTCTGACCATGATTTTATCGAGACAGTGTTTCCTACTGGCCTGGGACTCACTGAGCTGGGTAGACAGGCGAGTGTCTATTACCTTAGCCCTAAGATTACAAGTGTGCACCACATCCAGATTTTTTTTTTTTTAACGTGAGTTCTGGGGGTGAACTCAGGCTCTCTGGCTAGCAAGGCAAGCACTTTACTGGCTGTGGTATTCCCCACAGCACGTGAGTGAGGTGGTTCTTCAGAGGAAAATGCAGACACCATATTCATAGAGAGCATGAGGGATGCCCGAGATACCAGCAGTCAAGAACCACAGAAGTCCAGCAGAGACACCCCAAGCTCTGGAGCTTTGGGGGCCTGGCGGAGGCTCACAGGCATAGTCTGTCTAGAGGAGATGGAACCATAACACAGCCTGAGCACCCAATGGCCAGGTGACAGCCTGCAGGGGACCATAACACAGCCTGAGCACCCAATGGCCGGGTGACAGACAGCCT